CCCCCCCCCCTGTCTTTGCAGGCTCTGGCCGCTTCCAGCCCGCACCTGGCCACCCTGCGCCTGGCCCACTGCAGCGGGGTGACCACTGAGGCCCTTTGCCTGCTGGCCACGTCCTGCCCACGACTGGTGAGCCTGAACCTGCAGGGATGCCAGGTGAGCCTTGGCCCGAGGGAGGGTTCCGGGGACTGCTAGCCCCAACCTGGAGGGTGGAGGTGACAGGCTCTCATCTGCCCCTCCAGGTGGACCCCTGGGCAGTCACCGGCTTCCTGGAAAGGGCAGGTGCCCGGATGGAGCAGCTCTCGCTGACCTACAGCAGCCGCCTGAGCGCCATTTTTGCTCTCCTGGTGGTAAGCAGAGCGGGGGTCCTACGAAGGCCGGGCCTGTCTCCCCCCCCCCCCCCCCCGGGGAGCCGCCCCCCCCCCCAGGGGGACCCGGCCTGGCGAGGAGGGTCTCTGCCAGGCTGGCCAGGAGGCAACTGCCGGCCGCTGTGGTTTGGATCTAACCAGGGATATTGGCGGGTGTGGTTCAAGGCCTTGCTCTGAGCGGCATCGGCTCCCGGCCTGGTTTGGCTTCCAGTTTGGGGGCTTTGCACTTAGTCCTCCTCTTACAACCGTGTGTTTAGTGGCTGTTTGAACGGCATTGAGGAAAGGGACTTACGACCGTTTGTCACAACCGTTGCAGCAACCCTGTGGTCCAAATTGAAATCCTTGTCCGGTGACTCGTATTTATGACCGTTGCAATGTCCCAGGGTCACGTGATCATTTTTTTTTGGCAACCTTCTGATAAACAGAGTGAGTAGGGAAGCTAGATTCACTTAAGGACCGATTCACTTAACAACAGTGGCCAGAAAGGTTTGTCGAGTGGGGCAAAATTCACTTGACGGCTGTCTCAGCCCCAGAAAATGTGGGGTCAGTTATGGTCAGAAGTTGAGGAACCGCAGGCTGAAGGGGGGTGGGGAAGTTAAGAGACGTTCCTGGGTGGGAGGAGGGGGCGCTGGAAGTCGAGGTGTTCAGGGCGTACCTGTCCGTTCCAAGGGGAGGCGGGCCCTCCATGTGGATTCATCCAAGGGAGGAGCCACGGGAGTTGTAGTCGCTTGCGCCTGGCAGCGCACCAAGAGGCCAGGCCAGGCCGGGGGCAGCAGGCGACTGCTGACTCGTGTTGGGCACACCCCTCCAGGGAGGCCCTCCTGCGCTGGGCTGGACCTCGGGAGCTGACCCAGCCTGTTCTCCGGTTGCCCCCCACCCCCCCCATCCTTCCCCCCTCCCCCAGGGTGGCTGCTGCCCGGACCTGCGGCTGCTGGAGGTGAATGCGGAGATCAAGCAATGCACCCAGCACTTCCAGCTCCCCATTGAACAGCTCCAGGCCGCCTGTCCACAGCTGCAGGTGTGTGGGGGTCCCTCCTGCCCCCTCCCCAAGTCAGAACCTGACTTCCTGGCTGCGGGGGGGGGGGGGGGCTGGCTCTTCCAGAGGAGCCCTGGGGGTGGGGCTGTTTCCTGCAGCCCGTCAGCAGCTGCTCT